GAAAGAGATGGAAGAGTTGAGGAAGCTGGAAGAGGTACAGAGAATGCTGACGTTCGTACAATCTCGAGGCATTCCAACGGCGTCGTCACCTGACGACTGTAGTTGCTTTCTTACTAAGCTCATCCTCCTCCTGGTAATCTACAACTAAACATTATAATTGAAGTCTTGCTGTCAAGAAAGTAATTTTCTTCTAAAAATTTGGTTCTAGATTTTCTTCTAATTTCAATTTGTAGAAACAACCAGATTTTTTTTTTATGCAAACTGCTTTGTTTATTATGTTTTGTTTTTCGGTTTTTCGTTTTTTAGTTTTTCTCTAAACTTTGGAAATGCTATGCCAAAGGTACAACCATGTGGAGAACTTGACTTGGGCAAAAAGTGCAGTTTGGTTTCTGAATATATGCCGAAGGTGAGCATTATATCATTAGCTGATTATCTGATTTTGTTTAATGTAATGTCAATAGAAATGGGTGTGTGCTTATGTCACTTGTTTCACAGATTTCTGCTGCATTTCTTGATGAAGCATCCAAATGGCTTAATGGAGAAGGTAAACCAAAATAGAAAATAAAAATATGTTTTTTGTACTTCTGGAAGACGTGCATTTGAGACTTAACTGATTTCCATTTGCACGCCATACCCACATACACAGAGTAAAAGCTACATTTAAAGAATTTTTGTAGGCTATATTAACAGGATTTATTTAGTTTTTAATCTATGATGCTGCACATATTACAACTGATAGCATATCCACCCCGTGAATATGTTGTATGTGATGCCAGGCTACGTCATGGAATAAAGCAATTGTCTAAAACATTATACACAGATACAAATAGATTCCTTACTTTTTCCATTTTCTTGATAGATGCAAGTGCTATACTTTGAATGGTTGCCTTTAGCTTCCGCAAATTCAAAGGATCGTATTCTTTATTGAAGCAGTTTAATAGGTTGGGTTCAGTAGGTGTGCATACTACTTGGTGCTGGTGTTTACACTTCCTACTACATTTGTGTTTCTGGAGAAGGTGTAGTTGGGAACGGAAAGCATTGAATTGCATGCAGAGGATTTCCTTTGTGCTTGTGTTGCATTCTTATGAGGGTTGAGTGCTAGCAGTTTAGCAAAAGAATTGCAATCTTATGTGAGATCTTTATATTCTTGATTTTCACTCCTCCTAGGTTATGTCTTCTTACTACGTTTCTGTTTTCTTCTTGATGCTCATTGTTCATTCTCTACGAGCTGATTTACCTCACTTAGTTTGGGCTTCTGTATATATCTTGTTAACGAGGACATCACCCCTTTCACTTGATTTTGGTGTAGATTTTCTTTAAACAAACAGATGCAAATAGCTTTACATATTTTTATAGCTTTGACTTTTGCTTTTTTTACAGGCTATGAAGAAAAATCTGTTGAAAATGCTTTGCAGCTTGCCTGTAGCCATAAGCCTGAGTCTAGTTCATTGGACAATAATTCTGAAGAAATGGCTATGGTTGGACTGGACGCAATGCAACGAGCAAATTCTACCCTTGAAGATTTTGTAAGCAGGCTTCGTTCTTGAAGATAGATTCTATATATAAGAATATGCATTATTTAATAGTTGAATATTCATCAGTGCATAGTACGGGTAAGAGAATGACTAGTTGCAGATTTAGTAGTAAAGCTAACATGGAAAGCTTACCAATTTGAGTTATATTAAAATTTCACTTTTCTTATCAAATTTACTAGGGCATTTTGGTTGCCGATGGGGAATGCTACATGTGATTGTATTGAAACGATTCTCTTATTATATTTTTCAGTTTCTGAAAGTGAAGTAACCTAACAACCTCAGGTAACCCTTTTTT